TATATATATATATATATATATATATATATATATATATATATATTATATATATGTTCATATGTAAAATATATCAAAAATGCAAGTGGGTACTCAAATGAAAGCTCTTGATAAGTGTAACATCGAAATGAGCTTATATCTTTACAAATGTCAATAATTCAGAAAATACAGTGCAATTTAACAAAAGTCATTATTTAATAATGCAAAATTCTATTTATTTAAAAGTGACAAGTCACCGCAGTCACTTAGTGACTGCTAAATTGCTAGTTAAAGTTTATATGTATATAAATTTTCATATCAATTATTCAAAAAATTTTTTCTGAATAAAAATCAGAAAAAAATACCTACCATTATTAAGATTAAAGAGAAAACTGGACTTAAGTTTATCATAAATTTTTCCCCTTCTATCAGCTTCATCCTGACTTATAATTTCACCGCAGTACTCTGAAATGAATTCGTTCTTGACCGCGGAGTCCTTGAGAAAAATTCCCCAGCCTGCGACGTCCGACGGCGCCAGCAGAAGGTGCTTATGCAGTCCCCGTTGGACTCCAACATTTCTACAGGTCATCTTGGAGACATCAAACTGGTCAGCGCCACAAGTCCGACACAAATCCGGGTCGCATTCACGCATCGTGATAAGGCAAGGACACTGCTTGGTATTACAGTGTGCTTTGCAATTACACCCGGGATATCTATTCTCGCATTCTCTCGAGCACTTGCAGTACTTTTCGCAGAAATTCTGGGTGCCAACGCACAAACACAAATCGTCACACTTCTTATCCAGATGATCACACGGCTCGTACCCGCATAAATAACTCTTGTCTTCATTTTTCATCAGTAGCTTCTTTCTGCGCCGTATTGGCCAGACGCGTTGTTTCGTTTTTACGACCCGCGGAGGACTCAGTTTCTCTATTCTCTCGGGAGGAATATCATGGCCTTCTTGTAATGCAAATTTGTACACGTCTTGACATGTTTTTGTTAGAATTATTTGAGCTACTGCACATGGGTTCCCTGGGAATGCTGGATAAACTGCGCGGAAAAGAGTTTCTTCCGAACCGGTCCATATTTCTCTTCTCTCGTCAATCTTTGATAATGTAAACTTTGTATGTTTGTTTATTTTAACGTCTTTCTCTGCTATTATTTCTGTTCCTGAATCCTCGTCTTTTAAATCCTTGAAACCTTCAAAAAAAAATTCAATATGAAAATTATTTTATTTTTTTTTAAGAAATAAATAAATAAATAAATAAATAATAATAATAATAATAATAATAATAATAACTTGTCTCAAAAATTTAATATCTATATTATTAAGAGAATTTTTTAAAATGAAATTTAGTGTCATTACAAAGGTCTTGATTTGAATTTGAACCTTTTCAAGGTTTTATTTGATTCTCACCGATAGCCAATTTATGATGATAAGGATTTAGGCTGCATTCGAAAATGCTCCATCTCTAGACACATAATTGAGAAATGACCTTGTATCTTGAGAAATATTGACATTTTTAAAGATATAAACTCATTTTGATATTACTCTCATCAAGACCTTTCATTTGAGTACCCACATCAATTTTTCATATATTTTATATATTTCACAAATACTATATATATAAAATATATAAAAAATGCCATGTGGGTACTTAAATGAAAGGTCTTGATGAGTGTAATATCAAAATGAGTTTATATCTTTAAAAATGTCAATAATTAAGACATGACCTTTTAATCTTGTGAAATATTGAAATTTTTAATGATATAAGCTCATCCCGATGTTACCCGATTACACTCATCGAGACCTTTCATTTGAGTACCCACATCGATTTTTCATATATTTTTTATATTTATATATATATGAATATATGAAAAATATATCAAAAATGCATTTGGGTACTTAAATGAAAACTTTTGATGAGTGTAACATCGGGATGAGCTTATATCTTGAAAAATGTCAATATTTAAGAAAGTACAGTGTAATTTAACAAAAATCATTATTTAATAAAGCAAAATTTCATTAATAATAATAATCATAATAATAATTACTTTCATTGTCAGTACTTCGATTATCTAAATCTTCTTTACTATTATTTTCAATATATTGATTTTCTGAAGAAATTAATTCATCCTAAAAATTATAATTTTTCATATTAAAAATTTCATTGTTAAAAATATTAAAAAACTTAAGCATTATATTAAAAAAAAAACAATACTTTGTAAAGATAGCAATTTTTACCGCAAGGTTCTTTAATTATTTCAAGTCTTGGTCCTATTAATTTATTTTGGCTCAAACTGTCTTTAGTACCTGGTAAAAAATAAACTTTATTTAAGAAGAAAAGAAAGAAAATAAATAAAAATAACAATTTAACATACGATGAAGAAGACAATTATATTTGAAACATCTTCGACAGAAATATTTCTGGTAAGAACTCAGCGCTTCTTCTCTTGACAAACTTTTGCAGTCAACACTATCAATATTCGGCGGAGCTTCTGCTGCTGATATGTCGAATGCTTCTGTCAGATGTAAATATTTCTTCAAGAAGTCTTCTGGTGTTCCTTTATCGACAAATACCGCGGATATTGCCTAGTAAATTAACATTTCAATGTTTAAAAAAAAATTGGTCATAAATTTGAGATAATAAAATTTACAAACTATTTTTTTTTTTAATTAATTAAAAAAAACTTACATTGAAGATATCAGGAGATGGCAATCGCGATACTTTAACCATAGCGTTACATTTTTTTGTCGGGGTATCTAATGAACAATTGTCATATTTAATTAAAGAATTAACTAGTTCTAAAAATAAATCGTCATCTAATGCTCCCGATTTTCCGTGGACCTATTAAATAATTTATAATTAATATAAAAACAAATTTATTTTAATAATTTTTCTGAGATTCCTTCGCTTTAGAAAAAAAAAAAAGCACTTTGCAGCTTGTCAAGAATTTAAAAAAAAAAATAACGGCGAAATCCAATACCTTGCCTTGGTAGTGTTCGAGTAAATCAACAAGAAAAGTGTCATCATCCTTAAAAACTTCATCTCCCATATAAGGAAGATTATTCAGGACAACTTCATCGTCTACTCTGACGTTTTCTTTTATCGGCGTCCAGAAATATGAAGAAGGAATAGCTTTAACTGGATAAAATTCAACGATAGAGCAATTTTGTGCTTCAGCATCTTCATTGACATACTCTATTTTCGCTATGTCTACACTTTTTCCTTCTTTACTATCACCCACTTGCCATTCATTTCTACGTTGACATTCATTCAATTCGATTTTAAATTCTAAAAAAAATTTTTAATTAAAAATTTTACAATTAACAAAAAATCTCTAGACACATAATTAAATAATGACCTTGTATTTTGTGAACTATTGACATTTTTAAAGATATAAGCTCATCCCGATGTTATACTTTTCAAGACCTTTCATTTGAGTACCCACATCAATTTTTCATATATTTTATATATTATATATATTTCTCAAATACCATATATATAAAATATATAAAAAATGTCATGTGGGTACTTAAATGAAAGCTCGTGATGAGTGTAACATCGAAATGAGTTTATATCTTAAAAAATGTCAATAATCAAGATATGACCTTGTATTTTGTGAACTATTGACATTTTTAAAGATATAAGCTCATCCCGATGTTACACTTATCGAGACCTTTCATTTGAGTACCCACATCAATTTTTCATATATTTATATACATTATATATATGTATATATGAAAATGCATGTGGGTACTCAAATGAAAGCTCTTGATGAGTGTAACATCAGGATGAGCTTATATCTTTAAACCCATCAATACTTAAAGAATTACAGTGCAATTTAACAAAATTCATTAGTCAATAAAGCAAAATTTTGTTTATCTAAGCTCACAAGTCATGGCAGTCACGTAGTGACTGCAAGGTTGCTAGTAGTAAATTTAAAAAAAAAATAATAATTGCATTAATTAAAAACTTACGTTCAATTTTACTCTTATTATTTTTCCACAAAATATTAACATTATCAATATGTTTCGGCTCTCGCGATTTAATTATTTTTCTGTACTCATATCTCACATATCTTTTCCATTTATTTTCCATTTTTATTTTTTTATTAATAAGAAATAAAAACAATTGACAGTCACACTTAACAATAATATGTCTATTCAAATTGATATAAAATTTAAATTAATTTTACAATTATTTATTTATTATTTATTACATCAATAGGCAGTTTAGTCATAAGTTAAATATTTTACAATTATCAAGTTAACTACTGAAAGACTTTATTCGTACTGATTGACAACCTACAAGTACAAATTTATGGTGTAGGAAAATTCGTTTAGGTACAATTACAATTATGTATACATATATGTATATGTGTATGTGTTAATACTAATGAGTATTAACGAGAAATATGAATTACGTCAGAACCAAAATATTTATACTTGTAATTTTATGTCAACAAAAAAAAAGGCCAGTTTATAAATCCGAGAAAAATTATTTCCCAGTAAATTTATATATATATAAAATATATACATACAACATTGGATATAATTTTATTTAACTGGCCTTAATTTTATTTTTATCAAGTGTAAAAAAGCGTAATTAATTTATTTTTTCGCGGCTTTAATTTAATATTAAAAAAAAAATCGAGTGTTTGAATTTTTACGTAAAAATTGATAAAAAAAAAATTAATAATAAAACGACGATACATTTTTTATAAAATGTAAGTCACAAAAATGATGAACATGAACACATCTAAAGGCATCGAGCACTTGGGGATGATCAATAGTGCCGGAGCAGTAAATAAAGGTATAAAAATTTTATTACTAGCAAACTTTAAAGGCTGATAAACTATTTACATTGTAAATGTAAATTTTTATCAGAAAATCAATAATTTTTTTCTCTAAAAATATAGAGACCTTAAAAATGTCTAGATTAATTAGACAGATAAATTAAGCAATTAATTGATAACTGATCAACTAAACGATCTATTTACAATTGTGTAATAAATATTACAGGAACTCCATTTCTCGCTCAATTCCGACGAATTTAAGCTGTTCGGTTGGTCCGTATCTAGAAAAAAAAACATTAATAAATAAATAAATGAATGAGATTTTTTATACAAATAATTTATTGATTTATAGGAAATTTATTTTTCAGTACCTGTAGTCGAAGAATAATTCTTCGCCGGGTTGAATAGCACGCTTGGCGAAAATTCCAATCCTGTGGTCACCATTAACCATCATTACCTTCGCGTAGCAGTTGGGGTTGATCGAGTGATTAGCGAACCTGATTTTGTTGCCCTTGCGCGTTGCATCCACCACAAAATCTGAAAAAAATTGTTTTTAATGATTTATTTTTTATCTATTAATGAAAGGGTTGTACGCACTTGGAATTTTTAGAAAATTAATTTTTTTTTATTTTATTAACTAATGATATTTTTTAAGACATAAGCTCACCTTGACATTGCACTCATCGAGACCGTTCATTTGAGTACCCACATCAATTTTTCATATATTTTATATATTTCACAAATACCATATATGTAAAATATATCAAAAATGCATGTGGGTACTCAAATGGAAGCTCTTGATGAGTATAACATCGGGATGAGTTTATTGCTTAAAAAACGTCAATAATTACGAAACTACATTGTATCTTGTCAACTAATGATATTTTAGACGATATAAGCTCACCCCGGGATTACTCTCATCGAGACCTTTCATTTGAGTACCCACATCAATATTTCATATATTTTATATATTTATATATATTATATATATGTATATATGAAAAATATATCAAAAATGCATGTGGGTACTCAAATGAAAGCTCTTGATGAGTATAACATCGGGATGAGCTTATATCTTTAAAAGATATATTATATATATATGTATATATGAAAAATATATCAAAAATGCATATGGGTACTCAAATGAAAGCTCTCTATGAGCGTAACATCGGGATGAGCTTATATCTTTAAAAACGTCAATAGCTAACAAAATACAATGCAATTTAACTATAATTATTGAATAAAGCAAAATTTTATTTGATAGTTCACAAGTCTCAGCAGTCACGTAGTGACTGCAAAGTTGTTAGTTAAATTTTAAATGTGTGTAAATTTTGATATTAGTTATTGAAAAAATTTCTTTTTTTCTCTTAGCACGAAAAAAAAAAATCAGTGAATTTTCTAAAAAATACTTACCATTATTAAGATTGAAGAGAAAGCTGCACATATATTTATCATAGACCTTTCCCCTTCTATCAGCTTCATCTTGGCTGATAATTTCTCCGCAATATTCCGAGATAAACTCATTCTTAACAGCCGACTCCTTGAGGAAAATTCCCCAGCCTGCTACATCCGACGGCGCCATCAGAAGATGCTTGTGGAGTCCCCGCTGAACACTGACATTTTTGCAGGAAATCTGAGTGACTTGGAACTGATCAGCTCCGCAAGTCTGACACAAATCAGGATCACACTCTCGCACAGCAAGATAGCAAGGACACTGCTTGGTATTACACTGCGCTTTGCAGCGACAGCCGGGAAATCTGTTCTGGCACTCGGTGGAGCACTGGCAGAATTTCTCGCAGAAATTCTGAGCTTGGATGCAAGGACACGAGTTGTCACAAGGCCTACCGGGATGGTCGCAAGGTGCGAAGTTATGAACATGGTTTGCACCCGAGTCCTTCTTCAGCTGGATTTTCCTGCAATGCATTGACCAGAGACGGTGCTTCTTCTTCTTCTTGCGCGGTGGAGTGTAGTCTTTAAGACTCTCCACTGCTGGAATGTCATGAGCCTCTTTTTGCGCAAATTCGTAAACCTCTTTGCAAGTTTTGGTTAACATTATTTGAGCGAGAGCACATGGGTTACCGGGGAATGCTTTGTAGAGAGCTCGGAAGACACTTTGCTCCGATCCAGTCCATGTAAATTGACTCTCTTGCTTTGTACGCTTGTCCAGACCCAGGAGCATGAATGGTGACTGGTGGTCTGGTTGTGCTTGATCTTCTTCTTCTTCTGTTTTTTCTGTTTTTTCAGATTCGTGGTTTACATTTTGCTTGAAATCTGTTGGCGAAATTTTAACTGTGAAAATTTATTATTTTGTTATTAGAACAGTTTCAATATTAGAATAATAATAATAATAATAATAAAATTTAAGCTAAGATTGTTATTAAAGTTATATGAAGATAAAAAAAAATATAAGAAACTTTTTTTTATATAAAGCTCATCCCGATGTTACACTCATCGAGACCTATCATTTGAGTACCCACATCAATTTTTCATATATTTATATATATTATATATATATCACAAATACTATACATGTAAAATATATAAAAAATGCCATGTGGGTACTTAAATGAAAGGTCTCGATGAGTGTAACACCGAAATGAGTTTATTCCTTAAAAAATGTCAATAATTAAGAAATGACATTGTATCTCATCAACTAATCATATTTTTGAAGATATAAGCTCACCCCGACATTACACTCATCAAGACCTTTCATTTAAGTACCCACATCAATTTTTCATATATTTATATATATTATATATATGTATATATGAAAAATATATCAAAAATGTATGTGGGTACTCAAATGAAAGCTCTTGATGAATGTAACACCAGGATGAGCTTATATATTTAAAAACGTCATTAGTTAAGAAAATACAGTGCAATTTAACTAAAAATTTTGGCTTAATAGTTATTTGATATTTTCAAGCACAACATATATATATATATATATATTTAAAATATTTCAGTTCAAATATTTTTAAAATAAATTTTGCCATTTCAGAATTAATTTTATGGAACCAACAAACTATTTAAAACTCCCTCCAAAAAATTGACTATCACAAAAAAATATATAAAATCGTAAAAAGATACAAATTTACGTCAAGACTTCTTTGATAATACTAAATGTAACTATAAAAATTTCTTTTAAAATATATATATATATGCCTATTAAAAATTTTAATTATTTTTTAATCACCGAAAAAAAAATATCAAACGATATTTCGAAGAAATATCAAAATACGAAAAGATAATTATTAAGGTACGATCTTATTGATGTTACTAAATTAAACTATAGTAATAAAAGAATTTTATAATAAAAATATGCCAGCCACTAAAATTTCCCAATTATCATAATAATATCAATTAATATAAATTACCTTGACAATTTCCATTCTGACTGTACTTATTACTGTCATTGCTATCCTCACTGCTAGCCTCATTGCCAGAATCAACACTCGCCTGTTTCCTCACTTTCCGAGGTCCGCGTTTATCATCACCTTCGTCATCCTTATTATCAGCAGCCTGAGCCGCTAATTTTTCCTTCACTCCCTCGAGATGCATATAACACTCGCTTCCACACGCCTCGGAGAATGGTTTCAAATCTGGTCCCTTTCTCTTCTGCAGATTCGGTCCCGGGTGACAAACTTGTAAGCCTAATTTTACAGAAAAATAATCATTAGAATTACAATTTTATAAATTTAAACCAACGTATCAAAATGATGTTAAATAAAAGTGAGATGATCTCTGGATGTCACTGCGCTAAACTAAAAACCCACTTAATATTTCGATTACCTTGCGGTGATGCTTCCCTGGATGCTTAAGTTATTTAAAATTAGAATTTTCATTAATAAAAATCAATTCTACTTCATTTTTAAATTAAATTAAAATTAGTATTATCATTAATTAATCAAAAAAAAAAAAAAAATCAAACACAAAATAAAAAATTTATAAAACACTTACGATGTAAAAAACAATCATATTTAAAACATCTGCGACAAAACAGCGTGTGGAATGAATGCATGACTTGTTCTCTTGGTACACTTTTAGCATTGATACCGTCAATGTTCGGAGTACACTCTGGAGGAAGTACATTTGGATCAGAGCGTTCGGTTAATTCGATGTATTTTTCTTTTAACTCATCTGGACTTCCTTTGTCAGGAAACATGCTCGAGATGGCCTGAAAAATTTTATTTTATTGTTTAATTAATTTTTTAATATTTTAAAATGGATCAAAAAAAATTTTTTTTTAATTAAAAATAAAAAAATAAATAATTACATTGAAAATTTGCATGGTTGGAGAACGTCCCACAGGTTTTATATCCTTGATATCTGTTTTATCCCCACGAGCGTCTTCTTTCTTATCTTTATCCTCTTTATCGCGAACTTTACGTGTTGGCTCGCGTTCTTTGTCCTCTTTTTCGTAGGTAATCAATGCTTTGACAAGATCAATGAATATTGAGTCGTCCATGAAACCTGATTCTCTGTCACCGTGAACCTAAAAAAAATTTTTTATTAAAAATTATTCAATGAAAAAAAAATTTTTTTTTTATAATAAAATCAAAAAGTTGTCAAGTGTCTGCTAATTTTAATTGCATTAGATGTCAGCTAATTTAATTATATACAATAATTACCTTGCCGTCATAATTTTTAATAAGTTCCTCGATGAACGTCCCATCCTGGTCAAGGATCTCGTCGCCCATGTACGGAATATTATGCAGCACAGTTTCGTCTTCCACCATGAAGTTCTGCTGGATTGGAGCCCAGGTGTACATAGTAGGAATGGGAGTAACCGCGTTGATGATTTTAACCGGGCAAGTCTGGTTGTCTGATTCAGAGCTTGTAACTTCGGCTTTTTTCATGCAGGACACGTGAGCTGGGACATCTTGCATGGCCAACCACGTTGCTTTGCCATCTGCCCAGCGCTTTTGCTCTGTCACCAGCAGATCTGGAAATTTTAAAGTTTTATAAATTCAATTGTGAAATTATTTTTTTTAATGACATTAAAGGTAGCATTATTAATTTTATTTTTTTTTTTATGACAAAAATTTATTTGTTACAAAAATTAATTATTATTGGTTTAACTAAAATTAATGGAGTAGATATTTGATCATTTTTTTTTTGAAAATAAATTACTGCAAAAAAAATAAAAAAAAAAAATTGGCATGTAAAAATTTTATAAAATTAAAAATGCAATTTTTTAGAAAAAATTTGTTTGGTAAATAAAATTTAAAAATTTGATGAAATGACAGCTAATTTTAATGTCATATTTTTTTTGACAACTTAAAAATTAATTACTTATAAAATTTTATAAAAAATAAAAAATACCTGTCATAACTTTGCGATTTTGATTCCATGCTATTTTCACTTCGTCAGCACGCTTGTATCTTTTCATTTGGCGGAGTCTCATGTACTCCGATCTCACTCTTTTCTTCCATTCCGCAGTAACTTTTACTTTTGACATTTTTATTTATTTATCACACTAAGTGATTAATTAAACATGTTGAAAAAGAATAATTATATAAATTATTTAATTTAATTTAAATAAACGTTACATTGTAACAAACTAAAGTGAACACACAACAATGCACCTCGCTGTGTTGGCGCAAAATCAGCCATTGTTGTTTTTCTAACTGTTAACTGTTGAGTTAGATCTACAGATGGCAGTACGGCAGGTTTTTTTAAATGCGCGCGCATAAATTTAAATTTTTTAAATATGAAAATTAATTTAAAAGATATTTTATAATTTTTTTTATAGAATATAAATAAAAAAATAATTTTACTAATTGAAAAAATGATAAAATGCGTATTTAGAGATTTTAAAAGTTTAAAAAAGAAGTAAAATTTTTTTTTATAAATTTTCTACATAATATTTTATTTGCTAATAAATCCTGAAAATTTATTTAGTTTAATTATATTTAACTAATTAAAGATTAAATTTGTTTAATTAAATGAAGTGATGTTAATAATTTATTATTTTTATTTTTTATGCTAGAATTTATTAACAAAACTTAAAAATAAAATAATTATTATTAAAATTTTTTTTAAGGTAGTACTACCGGTTTAGTAATTTATTTAGTAAAAGTTATTTAATATTAAATAATTAATTGAAGTGCATTCTATTAAATTACATATTAATTTTAATTTCATTAAAATGATACTGAAATTAGCAGACATCTGACAAATCAATTATTATAAAAAGAATGTTTTAAAAAATTCACACTAATAATTTTTTGAAATTTCTACATTATTTTCTATACAGTTAAATTATTATAAGTTATAACCATCTAAATAATTGTTAGATGTCTGTTAAATTCAGTGTCATTCCTTAAAATCAATCATTTTTCATAATTTTTTCTTTAAATGAGTATTCTGTCCAAAAAATTAAAGAAATAAAAAAATTATCCATTAAACATTTTTTCAATTTTTTAATAAAAATTTTAAATTAAGTAAAAAAATATTTGAAAAAAATTGAAATTTTTAAATTTTTCTTTGAATTTTCTCACCTTGAGAAATTTTTTCTCTTGAATATTTGATATCCATTTTATATTATTTTAGCGTGCAATTATGCATACTGATTTAAACAAAAATTATTGACATGTTAATCAATAAAAATTTACTTCTATCTTTATATTTAATTTTTTGGAGCAAGAGAAAAATTTTCTCAAGGCAATTTAATTTTATTTAAATTAAAAAAAAGTATCTTAATTTAAAAACATTATTTTTCAAATAATACCTAAATCAAAAATCAATTGTTTATACTAAATCATATACATCTTCATTTTTAAAATAGCTTCGCATGCTAATACAACGAAAAAAAATTTTTTTTTTCATTTTCATTAATTAAAAAATATTATAAATATTAAATATTATAAATTTAATTTTTATTATTTGAAAGTCGAAATTTATCATTATTGATGAGAAATGGATTTAAAGAAAATCAGCTTAGGTGTTAGTAACGGAATGGATATATATTGACAGAAGTTCGTTTGCTTACACTGCTTTCATCGCACGATGAATTTAGCAAACGATTATTTAATCTTTTCATCTTAATAGGTTGAAACAAATTATTGATCCTAGTATTTAGGAGAAAATTTGTACCATAAAATAAAAATTAGTTGCTAATATTTTTTATATAAATATGTGATAAGATACATTCAACAATGAAGATACATTATTAAGAAGTAAATTATAATAGTTTCATGCTATTAATGTAAATATCTTGATTCAATGTTTTGAAACCTGTACATTTTATGAATCTAGAAGAGTTTATATGAGGTATTAAATAAAAAAAAAGTTTCAAGAAAATTCTTTTCACTATTTTTCTCGGAATTGAAATCAAGTGATAAATCTGATTTTAGGACTGGAATAAAAAAAAAAATCGAACACAAATATTGAAAGAATGAATCATTCCAATCATTATTTGCACATTGGAAAAAATTTCCCCTATACTACAAATTTATTTTGTTGCTCTTTATGGTTTTCACTTTTTATACTAATGCATAGTACTGTTTAAAAGCTTTAAAATCAACTCTTTAAATAAATATTGCATGTGTATGCAATTACTTTTTTAAATTTTATACTGTGTTTTACTTTGACTTTATTCCAAAAATTAAAGAATTACTCAAGAAAATGACATACACATTTGTATATCTATCATTCACAGATGATAAAAAAGGCCATTCGGCAGCCGAAATAGAAGTAGATTTCACATAAAGTAAATTTTCATTATAAATATTAATAATAATTTATTTATTTAAAAATTTCATTAAAAACCTACAGACGAATAGGTTATTTTCAGTTTAGGTAAATAAAATTAAAATTACATGAAAATTGAAGCTTGTTTAATGGACTTTAAAATGATATTTACAAAAATTCGATAGGTTATTTCATTCAAAAGTTATGCGCGAAAGAATCAGCCAAAAAATAAATTTTTAGGATTTTGAAAATTTTGAAACCATATAATTTTCAGGTGAAAACTTCACAGCAATATTAGGTAAAGAACCTGATTCAGCTGCCCATCTATACAATTCTTGAGGTGTTGTTATCTGATTATCGACTGGTCGTTGGAGACTAGATCTAGCCGCAATTCTTTTTACTGTTCCTCCAATTCCATCACAGGGGCCCTTGCCGTGAGCTGTGGCAAAATAGTGCCATTCAGCATCTAAATGAAAGTCATCTTTATGATAATAAATATTAACAAAGTTTTTGAAATTTTTGAATTGCTGTGGAGCACCATCAGAAAAATAAATAATTTTCACTGCAGTGGGAAAAGATTCTTTTACAAAGTCAGTTACAATTTTGAGGTATACATAAACAGCTATTGCATCATGATTATTATTATCATCGGAAATAATAACCAAACTTCGATGAGTTATTTCACTGTTTTGCTTGAAATAGATAACCACGGGAAAAATCGTAGCTTGGTTATTATTCCAATGGAATCCCGGTGCTGCGTTTTGAAGTACAAATGCGTAATTTTCAGCAAAATCGCAAATTGCTAAAAATTCATTATCTTGCAACGATTCTTTGGTTTTTTTCATGAAAGCAGATTGCTCTATTTAGCAATGAAATCATGCGGTAAGAGACTAACAATATGATGACAAAATGTTTCGATAAATTCCGGAGAAGCCTTGAGATTGTCTTTCTATAGCGAAAGATGGCGGCAAAAAAAAAACCAGTCCAAAAAAAACTTATTTTATGCAATTTAACAGAATTGTATAAAACTTTTAAAGAACAACATCCTGATAACCGAATAGGATTATCTAGTTTTGCATCATTGAGACCTTTACATTGTGTACTCGCAGGATCTAGTGGTACTCATACTATTTGTGTGTGTGCTATTCATCAAAATGTGAAACTCATGATAATAGGTAAATAATATGAGATGTTTATTTTTTAATTGTAAGTTAATAATTTTATTTTTTGGTAGGGTCTAATTTGGCAAAACTAACTAATAATTCAGCAATTTGTTTGACGCAATATAAAGATTGCTTCAAGCTCATTCTATGTCCTAATTCATCATCTGCTTGTTATTTAATGAAATGCCCGAATTGCCCAGGAATTCAAGTTCTCGAGAAGTTATTGGAAACGGTGTTCGATGAAAATGGAGTGGATGATGTCACGTATAAATATTGGATATCTAATCCTCGCTGTAGCCTCGAAAATATCATCAAGGCTTCTCCGGAAAAAGTTCAGAAGTATATATTCTACCGTATTTTCACCATACACTACCGTAGTTGTACCGTAATTTTACCGTTCTTTACCGTACGTTACGGTGTTTTACGGTTTCTACCGTGCAAGTAGAATGCTATTGTAATCTACGGTGACCATACGGTATATCGACCGTATTTTTACCGTATAATACCGTAATTTTACGGTATTTCAGATCCGCCAGGGCTTTCATTAACATTAGCACCTTTGTCTACTAAATAAGCAACCAAATCACTTATTTATTCACTTCTACAGCTTGCATAAGTGTTGTTTTTTCGGAGATTGTTTTCAAATTAATATCAGCTCCCTGATCCAATAACAATTTTGTCATACCTTCGAACTTTCGAAGGATGGAACAATGTAGAGTAATGGAAGACTGTGATTGACCCATAAGTGATTGTTCATCTCGTGAAAGAAAATTTGGAAAAAATTATTATTGAATCTAAGGTTAATGTCAGCGCCGTGATTAAGAAGTAAAGCCGCCATTTTATCGTGTCCTTTGAACACCGCGAGATGAATTAGATGACACAAATCTGTTGTACTGGATGAAACTTCTGTACCGTTTTCAAGAAGAAGCTTCGCACACTTTAAATGATTGTTTAAAACAGCTAGGTGAAGCGGAGTAAATCTAAGTCCTTCTTCAGCTAATTGAGGACTTACAGCAGCACCAATTTGCAGAAGAAACTTAGCGATCTTATGGTGACTGTACCTAGCAGCCACGTGCAATGGTGTCCACATTTCTTCACTAACTTCATTCACATCAACAACACATTTTTCTATTAGCAGTTTCACTTTTTCAATGCCATCCAGATGAAATTCAGAAATTAGCGGCAGATAAAATGGATTTATCTTTGTAATCTTTTGCAAAACACTGAATTTTCTGATAAGTTCAATGTAATATAATTTATACCTCTCCCGTGGGTTTGAACAAACGAACTTTGAACTCTTCTTTGATTGCGCTTTTTTTATAATTTATAAAATCTAGTAACTAAATGTTATGATTAATTTTTGGAGTATTTAAAATACTTTTCACTTGAATAGATTTCGAAAAATTCACTTTGCTTTGAGCGAATTGATTTACAACCTCACTGTACTGAGAGGTAATTAAGACTGAAATATTCATAAATGCTTAGAAGTACCTGGATCTGATTTTACTAAGGTAAAGTGGGATTTTGCAAATTAAAGTGGAGGGGAGTGGGCCGTATCAAAAAGAAGAAAAATAAAGCGGTCTGCCTCATTATTATAGTTAGC